TCGCGAGGAAAAAAATAGTAGAACGAGGGAACGAGACGAGTGAAGAAGAAGAGAGGAAATCGAGAACAGAATATACGGCACGACGAGCCGCGCCGTGGTACAGGCACAGTCTCTCTCTCGCCGGACAACCGACAGTTAGAAGAACGGGGTGGCTGTCGAGGAGGGTAGTACCTGCCTACTACTCGCACCCTCGCCCGGCGCTATAGTAACAACACGGGGAAACATAGGGAAATCAATATGGCTTCCGTTGCCCTCATCCCTCTCGCGCGCGGCGCTCGCAGCCGCTGTCTCTCGCTCTCGTCCGATTCTCTCGCTCCTCTCTCGCTACCATGGAATTACATCTCTCCCTTGGTCTCCCTCACTTCACCTATCTCTGTTTATCCTTCTCTTTCTCTCTGTTTCTTTCTCTTTCTCCCTCTCCTTTTAGCTTTCTCTCTTTCTCTCTAGTACTCGACGCGGACGGGTGAACCCATTATAAGGGGGTGTTACTCCGGGCCAATCCCCAACCATCCGGAGAGAGAAACCAGAGAGGCGAGAGTCCAAGAAGGGCGCATGTGCGTTGCTAGGGCCACCGGATGGGTCGCACGATGCGATGCGATGCGATGCGACGCGATGCAATGCGATGCGATGCGATGTGATGCCGCGCGTAACGTCCGCCCGGTATATATATCAGATACTTGACAACGTAGAAATATCCTGACAACGCACCCAAGAAACAAGTACGGCGTATAATTTGCACTTTCTCTGTACCTAGATATACATAAGTTTCCTCTAGATATCCAAACCTCCAAAATACGAGTATATATTTTCGACGAAAAAGTAGTTGAATAAATGACTATTATACCTATATTCTATTTATGCTTTAATATGCCTTAATAGTCTCATAAATACATGATTTCAATCTTTTTATATAATCTGATAATTAAGTTAATAAGTAATTATAAGAAATCTTGAGAAATCATGATATAAAATTTAAAAAAATAAAATACATAAAAATATTATATAAACTCTATATCACATTAAAAGATTATTAGCTGAAAGTCCTTATATTAGGTAATAATATGATGTTTGCGTAATATAAGACAAATAAAAAGATCGTAATTGCACACACACCACACACACACACACACACACACACACACACACACACATACACATATATATATACACACACACACACATACAATTATGATCTTTTTATTAAAGTAAAAACCCTATCTTTACTAATCCTCTTTCGAAAGGATTCATTGCATCAAGGAGGGCTCTCTAGCGGCATAGGACGAAATTCGAAATCAGAACATGTATGTCGGTAACATAGAATTCTAGTGTAGGTACATACGTCAGAAAATACCAGAGCAACTCTTTGACAAACATACCAAAAATGCATCTGTCAAGTTAACATCTCCATCCATTAATTAATATACAAAAAGTAATTACAGTTCGAGAATAGCACTTTTTATAGTTCTATAGTTTCTCGTTAGTACTCGAGTTGTATCAATTAATATATTTTAAAAACAAAATTCCAATAATTATCAATTTTTAACAAATTCTAAATGTAGAAGACATTACGACACTTTGAAGAAAAGTGTCTTGCTGATTATTTATCGCAATTCGTGTCATTATTTATCTCATTAATTCTAATAAAATTCGATGCTCTGCACTACAATTATTTTTAAACATAGAGTTCTGGCTAATTTTTTAATTTTAATTTTTTAATACAAATGCAGAACTTTTTTTATTTTTTACAAGAAACAGAACTATGAAAAGTGCTATTAAAACTGTCATTATTTTTTTTTACATTAATGCCATGCTAACTTCACGAACACACGAAAAGCTGCATGATAACATTGCATAGTTGCATTTAATTTTTATTATAAATATAAAATATTTTCTAAAATATATAAATGTACACAAAAGTTAATGCATATAGGAAATCACGTATTTTGTTTCTATATGTATGCACATTATCTCTGGCATTTCGATATGTATGCATTGTGTAAAATATTTTAATAATATTTATTGCTGATAAAGTATTACAGAAATTATATGTAAAATATTTAATGTTTATCAAATTCAAATAAATTTAATTTATAAGCGAAACCAAAAATGAACAAATATTATATATATATATGTATACATATATGTTTTAAATATAGAAATATATTTATTATAAATGTCTTAATAAAAATTTTTTATATACCAAGATATACAACTATTTGCTTATAACATTCTTTGTATTTATCGTTCTCAATCTTTACATTAATTTAAATTTGTTATAATAATAACTGAATCTTACACCTTTTGTTTATATTTAAATAATTACAAGAAAATTGTTAATAAGTTTTTAATAAAAAGATTATTTTGAATATCAATCTTTCATTTAATTGACTCCGAAAAATTTTAGTAAACGTTCGCATCGCGAAAAAAGTAATATTTATCATCATTTTATTAAACGTGCACTGCAGATGTAAATATTATATATATTTATTTTAATAATATCATTACTTATTAATTTATTATTATCAGTTTATTATTTATATCTATATTTCGTTTAGCATATCGTTTTTATGCAAAAATTAATTAAGATATACAGCAAAAAGAACTTATATTTCGGTGCAAAATGATGGTCAACGGTGCTACTACAGTTCGCCAGAAATCCCAACTGATTTCAAGCAATTCATTCCTATATTCTTCCAGTTAAGTCAGGTTCGCAAAGAATCCCATGAACACTCGGTCATTTGAATCTATGCATCAAGAATCGCAGGAAACATTTAGATCCCGTGTTTTCGCTAAACAGCCAACGATTTACATATTATAGTTCGATATGCGTGTATCCGTCGTCTAGTCGGCACGAAGTATGTTCGGATTGGGCCCATTATATTTCCGAAAATCATCCTCAGCCGCTATCAACACTTTCTCCTCATATGAAACTCAACACCATCAGCTTCATTGTAGCTATTACGGGAGAGTAAACGTTCCTTGGCTTTAGCTCCACTCTGTTCGAAGATCATTTCTACGGGTATCCGGGAAGGTTAGAGAGAAATCTTAAGTCGCGAGAGAGAGTTTCTATATTTCTTGGTAGTCCATTATCATGAGAACATTTCCTTCCCGTCTTATAGATAATTCTTCTATGCAACGCCACTGGGGGATTAGTTGATTCTCTTTGCTCCCTCTTCTTTTAGAGAGGACAATCCAATAGATAAATATATTAGATAAATTAACGCATGCTTTCGTCTCCCAATCATCGTGGTTCTTCTTCTTCTTGGAATAAAGCTCTCTCGGGAATTTCTCGGCTATTTTATTTTCCATTCTTGACTCTATACATATACATATATATATATATATATATATTACACACACAGCTCCTAGTGCGTAATTGTAGTCACGTTAGCAATATTACGAAGAAGTAAAGCCCTGTATTGGAAATTAAAGGCGCTTTTACCTCCTTACATATATCCCCCCTTTTTTTCTTTATAATAAATTTGTGAAGTGTGTGGATATTTTTTGGAAACCTCACCGCACAAATCAAATATTTCCCTTTGTAGTAGGAGTACTTTCTTCTCTTCTATCACCACAGATAAGACCATTGCATGGAAGTTCCACGAAAGAGAAAGGAGCAGGCAAATATCTGCAATACATATTTACAACAGTGTTGACTAAACTTTCCCGACGATATCCTGGCGTACATCCTTCATAACTTTTGATGAGCATCCACTGGAGTCTATGCGTACAAGGTATAGCTGAAAGACTAAGAACGAAAATCTCACCGTCAATTTCAGACGGATATATATATATATATATATGGACGATCCTGTCATTCATCGACGATCCCTGAGTAGCGTCAGACCACCTGATTTAAGCATATTCTTATATGTCTTATAAAGAGAATAATGTTCAATCGTACACTTGCGAGAAAGCTCAGACTAATATACGAAAACATATTAAATAAAACGTATCTTTATAGTCTAACTTGTATCAAATATCAAATAAAAAATAATATCAAAGAATATTTATATACAAACTATGCATTAGAATCATAAAATTATAATAAAAATTAATAATTTTAATAATAGACGTTCATTACAATAATATCCTAGCGGAATCTCGAGTAAATAAATCTACGAAACAAGAGATTAACAATCAAGGAGACTCACAGTTACCCTATGTATATATTATTTACCGGTGTTATGCCGTATGGTAAGAAGTGTCAGTTACTACAATATTTGATACCGAAATCATTACTATTACAAGTTGTTATAATTGTAAGTGGGTAAAATAATTTCGTAAATATTATTTAGTAATAATTATTATATGTGGGAAAAGTTAGTATGAAAAAATGATTGCAGTCGGCAAAGCAGACTTCGGTTAATCAAAATCCAGCATCCTTGCTAACGAGAGGAATCGCATGTACCATAGGCCCATATAGCAAACTGTTGGTACCGATAGAAAACGACCTTACCATCCTCGTCGGTAAAAGAGATTTCGCAACTTATGATGGAATAATACATCACGCAGATCACAAGCCATAGGAGATCTACAATTTCAAGAGGTAGGCAAAGGTAAGCTTGAACCATCTGAGTTGATTCTTTTCGCGGTTTTGTATCAAAAAATCTTGAATTCACTCTCTATTCATATTTTCTAATTTAAAAAACCGAATGAGACAATGCCTATTGATATTTTCTAATTTAATTCATTTTTCTAACCTTTTAATTTTTCATGTAAATTTTAAATATACAAATGATAAAGTTTGTAGGATTAATTATATAAAACAAAAACCGCAAAATTTATTCACATATCTCATTGATTTATTTAAAATCTTTCTTTTATATAAAAAAAATTATCTGCTATTGATTTTTCATCTTTTTAATATCTATAACGTTAAATACTAATAAAATATGATATGTAATTGGATTAGTCACTTGCGATTCGAAACATTAGAAGGTCGTGTTTATCATCACATTATAGTGGCAGGATGTACAAGCAGGACGCTTTCAGTTGTCGGTTGACGTCGTAACGGTTCGCAAGATTAAAGTGGTTCTATTACTTTTATTCAGGTAATATATCGACATGAAAGTGAAATCTTGTTACAAAAGCTAATAAAACACACTTGATTTAATAGAATGCGCGTATTTTGAAGAAAATTAAAAAAATGTAACAATGCTTTTCGAACGAAACAATTTTTTTCATATAATTTACAAGTGGATATACAATGTGTATTCTAAGATTACATTCTTTTGTCAATATATTTTGTCAATATTATCTCTGACAAAAAAAAACGCCGCGCAAGTGTTTGTTATCACGCGATTAGAAAAAATCTTGTAAATCTACAAAGTGCACTGGCTGATAATTCCTCAATTTCAATATAATTACAAATGTCCGTTTTTCCTCTCTATTTTGAACAATTCAAACGGGATACATACAAAATGCTGACATGAGCAAACAATATGTCAGATTATCATCGATAATCAGAGGTCGCTTTAACTATGACGATTAATTTTATTCCTGTAAATATTACATAATTATATATATCTACAGTCGATCGTCTCTTCACTAAGAAGAGATACACCGAGGATAACGCTAAGCAAACATGGCGTTGACGTTAGCACTACCCTTATTCGGCCTAGACCCGGAGCATTTTTCCGCACTGAGCATGAAGCTTCTTAATATTGAGCGCGAACAGAATTTGAGGAATTCGTCCGATTCTGGGCGAACTTCTCCAAGTACCGGAAGCGAATCCAGTGGCATCAGCAGTCTCGCAACGTCCGCCGAATCGACGCCAATCGAATTAACGCCGATTTCATCAAGATCAGAGACACCCACTAGAGTGCCATGTCAGAACAAGAACCAGGAGAAGGTAAACATTACGAGCGTTTGTTGGCACCAATAATTCGGAACTCGACATAAAAAGGAATTGTAGGAATGTTACATAGAAAGAAAAAGAGAAAGTATGGAGGAAAAGTATGAAAAGAAAAGCATGAGAGATAAGGACCGGTATTCATAGTCGGTTCTTATTTCACTGCCTTAAGTAATGTCTTAAGATGCTAAAGCGGCCCTCTGATTGATTCGTAACTCTTCAAGACTGAACTTAAGACGATCTTGAATATAAGAACTGACTATGAATACCGGCCAAAAGGACAGTAAAAGAGAGAAATGTCGAAGAAATTATTTTCTTAAAAATTATATTTAGTAAAAAAAGTAACATTTATAACCTTTTTTTTATAGAATTATCGTCAATATAGAAAGTCTTTTAATAAAGAGATAATTTTATAAACACAGCATTTTGCTTATAATCTTAACAATTAAACATAAATATGCATCTAGTAGATAAAAATGAATGTTTCTTTCAGACTGTTCGCGTAGTATACGGAGGCCGCGATATATTGAATTTGGGAGCGAACATCAGACCGTCGCTCGACTGGCAAATGAAAGATCGAACATTGTCCCGACACAATATTCAAGATTTTATAACTAATCGTTTAGTGTATCATCGATTGCGTGAGCAGCCGCTTACCAAGGATTATCTAACGGTATACATTCAACGACATTTTGTAATAAAAAATCACGCGACAACATTTTATAACTCAGGCTGAAATTAAAATATCCAATATAATTAATTTTTTAAAATATGTGCAACATAAGATATATAATGTATAATTTATATATAAATTAATAAAGTTTAAATTGAAATTTTTAATTCTCTAAATTAAAATTTGTAGTCATAGCTCTGATGAATGAAATTTTATCTTACAGAAACGTTGCCACGAATGCGAGTTTTGCGAGCCGTCGTCCATCTTTTGATATCGACTTAACCGTAACGAAACGATTAACGACAACAAAGTCCTGCGTACAACGTCATGGATAACTGAACTGTGATAGACCGGATAAGCGGCAGCCGGATGGAGACGTACCGTAAATCGAGGAACGTATGGAAATATAAATCTAATATTTAAAATTTGATACCCGAAACGCGACATGAATATTGAAATAATTGCAATATTCACGTAAATTATTAATTTAATTTATTATTGGTGAATTAATCTAGGAAGAGATATTTAAGATCTAAATTATATGTAAATGGTATACGTTCCCTTGCCGGATACGGGCTGCAGTAGTTATTAGTTCTCCTACCTATGGTATCGTAAGATGAGGTAATATTATGAGCTAATAAGTTTTGTATCAGAACAAAAATAATCGAGAGACATTTAATGTCTCTGTAATGTCTAAATTTTAGACACTATACACGTGGTTTTATAATCTTTTATGATATGCGCGGTACGAAATTAACTCTTTCTGCTAAAATTAATGTACCGCATCTTGCGATGTCACTTTTTCTCTTTTCAACTTTATAGTGCATGCGTATTTAATTATACTCCGGAATGACGATTTCGCATATAAGAATATCGGCGTCTTACAAAACTTACTGTCCGAGCGTAAAGTATCGTGTGACTTCATCGAACGATCGAATAATATTAATTTTTTATACACGATATGACACTAAATCTGTAACAGATTGAACATTTAACTACAGATTGAACAAAAAAGACTGCAAGTTTAGAGGTGCGTTTCGTAATGCATCAATTGTCATTGTTTATTTATAATATTTGGTAGGCAACAAAGATAAACGATATATTATGCGCATCATGCGTGAAACGGAACGCACCCTATAACTCGCAGTCATGTGTATGTACGAAAAGTTGCATGTCGCCTAAAAACTTTATGTATTCTTTACACAAATTTATTAATTTCAAGATATATCTCATTATCCTACTGTCAAGATTGTCATAATCACCGACGATCATGAATTATTTCATTTTTGCAACAACAAATGCCGTTGCGCTTCGTAGAGCATTGTTAGCGAATGACGTACCGATAGATGTATCGCGTTTCATGTATTCACTTCAGTATTCATGAACGATCGGCAATTTCTTAAAACAGCCGAAAATCAGTCCTTACATTTTCGCGGTAAATGTAGTACCTGCTCGTAGGATATAAATACGTATTTCTACGACGGCATTGCATATATACATATATATCTTGACCATTGTTTATAAATGCATGATAAACAATATTTTATGTCTCAATGTTGCATTATTAATTATACTTTTACATTTAATAAATCATGTTATAAAACACTCGCGAGGAATACAGAAATAACTTAGGTATGTGAATCTCCTCTCTTCGTTATATTTTAAGGCGCGATCCACTTTACGCTGTAAATGCTTTGAAGCATTCTTCGAATGGTCAATTCTCGATAAAATTCTTTCTTCTGATTGGTCAATAAAACATTTGCAGCATCGGAGTGGGTCGCACATTCTTATATATTTGGCAGCTCTTATAAAAAAAAGGAGAGGGAACAATTTTTTTCCGAAAGTTAGAAATTCCTCACGATAATATCACCGCGATGCAACATAAGCGGACTTAGAAACGATACTCAATCCTTAAGCCAAGGCCGAAGATGAACGCTTGGCGAATTAGCGCGTAAATTCGCGCGAAAGGCATTAGTGCCGTTTCATGAGCCGCACAAGGGGGTTGATCGCTCGGACCCTCGTGCTTCTGCATTGTTTCAGCTCGAGCGTAACACCCGGCGTAGCGCTGTGTGGCCGGTTCGATCCACAATCCCGCCTGAAACACTCACACCCCTAACGAGAGAGACTCGTCGCAACACACGCGTATTTCTCTGTTCTTCACCGACGCACACGCATGTACATGCATTCAGAAAAAATGGACAAATTGCTAAAAAGGAAGAGAAATATTTTATCGGGGAAAAAAATTATATGAAAATAGAAATCTCATATATATATATATATGTGTATATAAAACAGCATTTTTTCCAGTTTTACTCTGTGATGCATAGGATTGCTTTAAACACGAGCGTTATGTGTCCATTATTTATAATAACAACTACAAATTAAATGCTATAGTATTATATCCAATTACTTCACATTCAATGATTAAAATTAAGAATGATGTTTCACATTCGCTGATTTTTCGCCTTTGAGCCTCGATATTTAGTAAATCCGCCACTGGTATGTGCGTTTATATCGCTTGCATGTATTTCGCGGGGTGTGCGGGAACCTTTCTGGCTGCACGCGTGCGTGTACATTCGATGTACGCGCGCGCGTGAAAGCGCCCCGTCCGTGCGTGCACGCGCGGATGCGTGGGTGCGTGCAACGCGCGAGAGATGCGCAGGACGACTATTCAGATATTGTTGTTATTGTTGAGGGAACAATCGCCCGTCAATAGGCCGCCTCGGCACAATGTATCTATTCAGGTGCGGTCAGCGGTGCTCAATCGATCAGGATCCACCCTTTGCGAGTGCCGAAAAAGCACTGCGGAGACCGGCGAAAGATCGTCGTTAGTTTCGCGATGCGCATCACGGAATTCTTCACACGAAGTATTCACATTCTTAACTTAAGTCTGCCTGTATGCATGAAGAAAGTATAGACGTGCTTATTTTTTTCATGCTTCAACAAACCGAACAAGAGCGAAATTCTTAAGAGACTTGTGCGTTTCTATTTACAAAATATTTTTTTATGATACAAAATATGTTTAATATCTTGACATATTTAAAAAGTACATTATGAAAAGCAAAATAAAATTGTCAAATTGATTTAAATTTTACTGACAGATGATTAATTTCGTTGACTCAGCAAAGTGATATAAATCGAAACATATTCTTGGGTGTAGAGTGTACATATCATACTTTTATATTAATCGTTTTTATGAAAAATCAATATTTTACTTTAAATAATTTAATAATTATTGCGTCAAAGGATTGGTCAGCTGAATAGTTGAGTTGAAAATGCGTATATGTATATGTAACAAGCGACTGGAACCCGATGCGAGATCATTATAAAGACTCACAATCAGAATACTCTTGATCACGATGAATTGGTATCGAACCGTGAAATGAATCCCAACCAATGATGAATCATGTCGGCATTTGAGATCTCATATCTCTCTCGTCGACGTCTAAATATTATTCCAATAACATTGATCCTGTTTAATTAAATTTCTTATGCATATTGCATTTCCTTTCGTAAAAAGACATTTTTCATCGCAATTTTAGGCAATAATTTTAATTTGTATATACCACGTTCAAATGTACACATTCCCTAAAGATCAAGTACTCTAAAAATAGAACTTAAGCTGTACATGATTGCCAATTGTACCTCCACTTGCTCCGATGAGATGACCGCCGGTTAAACACATCGTACTCCGATTGAAAAGCGAATTGCACGGACGAAAGTGTGAATCACCTATGACTCTCAACTACTATTCAATGAGCCACAGTTTGAGCCGACAAACAGACCGCCTTGTCACGGTAATATTCTATTGGCTCGTGCATCGAAGCCCTCAAAAGAGATCCAATCGGAGAAAAAGAGACCGCGGGTGAGAGCCACTGCCGCGAGCGAGGGTACCAGAGTTCCGCGGCTATAGCGATGATTACGTATGCGGGAATCATTGTCGAGTAACGCGCGATGCACATGCAAAGGCCAAAAATCGTCGAAATCAGTCGAGTTCAACATCAGCATTGTACCTGGGCTTTGTCTCTGCCTCATTGTTGTTGGTCGGCACTCTCTTCCTCCTCTCTCTCTCTCTCTCTCTCTCTCTCTCACACACACACACTCTCTGTCGATGTACAACCTACGACTGCTATCCCAGGATAGTTTCCATAGTATCCACGCGACCAGGATCATTCGCTAGTAATACCTACCTATTCCGCGGACAGGGTCGGTTTAACCCTTTTGCTGTGTTAAAGACGCATACACATACCATTGAAAACAACGATAACGAAAGGTAAGACTCGATATTCTTGACACTCTAAATCGAAATTTCAAGATAATGTCAAAATAGCAAGATAAAACAAGATTTCAATGTTAAAGTAATTATCTTCTACAAAATTTCTTAAAATGAGGAAAATGATTTATAGCTTCTACTTTGCCGAACGCTAAATATTATATATATATAATTCTATGATGAGAATATCTATCTCCTTTGCAACACGATATCAAATAAAGCAGATTAAATTGTATAAATTATTCATCGGCCCTGAGCGGTTTTCGCACGGTGTCTCGCGTTTCTAATTCACTCTCATCGCGATCCGATCCTACGCAGCCAACGCATAATCAAAATAAAGAAGAAGGGATCCACCACACGGCGAATCCGTGTCTGCCTTTTTCCTCTGTGCATAATACAGGTGCAGGACAGATAGGACAAGATCTCGGCGATGATATTGGAACGAGAACGAGTGAGCGAGAGGGGTAACACCACCAGCAGAGCAAGGCGAATCCAGCAGAGAAGGGGAGGAGGGGTTCAGAGCAGAGGGAACGAGAGAGAGAGAGAGAGAGAGAGAAGGGACGGTAAAGAGGGGATAGGAGGAGAAGAGGGCATAGAGCAGCTGAATAGGAAGCGACACAATGGACCTGGGTGGCTGTGGAGGCGTGTTATCAAATGGGTTCCTCATTCACATACTGCGGCCTGAGCTACCTGTGTCTGTCTGTACCGGTGTCTGTCTGTTATACTTATTCATACCGCCCATTGTGTCCTCCACTGTTGAGTCGAGTTCAGTTCAGTTGAGAACGCGATGGAACGTGCCACAATGCACGAATATGGGCTGCGCCGCGCCTCCCCCCCCCCCCCCCATGTCATCGTATCTCTTTCTCTCTCTTTGCCATTTGCCACCCACAGTCCAACCCGCGCGCGCGTTGGATTCGCCGGGACCGACTGAAAAGAAAATTGCGTCGGGAAATTGTATCCGTGAGAAAACCCGACCGATAATGCCGAGTTCTTGAAGCGTACACGTCGCGAGATTTCTCCACCCCCCCCTCCCTCCCCCCCCATGGTGGCATCGACGACGACGGCGGCGACGGTGGTCGTCGAATCCTGCTGCCGAATGTCTCGTTAGACGACGAGCGTGCGAGTTTCCGCGAAAGACGATCGATGGCCCAACGTGAATCCCGA